GGCCGCAGGACGGCTGGGGGCTGCGCGGAGGAGCCGCCGGTCGCAGGTCGGCCCGGCTCGGGTCTGGCCGCGCCGTCTTCCAACCCTGGCCGGTCTAACTTCAGGGTTTCCAGCCTTAGCAGAAGTGGAAACTGAGGCCTGGAGGTTGGCCCGGGGATGGAGGGCCGGCCGGAGTCCGGGCTGCGGGGGCTCTCGCTGAAGGCCACGGCCTGCAGGTGGCAGCGGTGGAATTTGACCCCGTGTGATCTGAGGCCCAGGTGACCCACCGCCCCGAGGTGCCATCTCTCCCCCCCTCCCTGCAATCCGCACGCCATGCCGGCGTGGAGCCCCTTCCTGGCCCTGCTCCCCGAAGTGATAGCCCCGCAAGTGAGTGACAGCCTGAGCGGCACAGGCCGCCCGGCCCTGCTTCCCATCACAGGCCCCAGCACCACAGTCCCTTTGCACACAGGCATGCTCCAGGGTGGCTGGACGTCACAGCCTGCCTCTGCCAGCCCCAGGAGCCGCGCTGGCCGCTGACCGCTGGCCCGGCCACAAAAACAGCCAAAGAGGCCCGGCCGGGAGGGCAGTGAGCGGTGTCCTGCTTTCCCACGGCAGACTTCTGCTGTCTTCTCAGCTGTTCAAGGGAGATGAGAATCCCACAGAAGCCCCATGGCTCACACCCGTCATCCCAGCGACTCAGGAGGCTGAGATCTGAGGATCGTGGTTCAAAGCCAGCCCAGGCAGGAAAGTCTTTGAGACTCATCTCCACAATTAATTACCAGAAAACGGGAAGTAGAACGGTGGCTCAATGAGATAGAGGGCTAGCCCTGAGCTCAGACGCTCAGACACAGCTCCAGGCCCTGAGCACCAGCCCATGACTGACAAATAAAACAAAAGCATGGATTTTCCCGTCTGGGCTGGCTCTGAGCCTCACTCCTCAGACCTCTGCCTCCCAAGTGGCTGGGATGACAGGCGTGAGCCACGGCGCCCCGCTGCTGTTTGCTCGTGAGCAGGCACTAACCCTTTCTGAGCCTCTCTTTTCTTCAAGCAAGTGCACCCTGCCTTGGCCCGCGCCCAGGGCCCTGTGACCCGTGCAGGTGCCCGCAGCCCTCCCCTCCCCACTCCAAGGTCCAGCTGGGGAGTCAGTCCCTGAGCCCCACGAACCAGGAAGTGGAACTCCCTGGACTGCGACTCCCTCAGCCAGGCTGTGCCTCGGTTTCCCAGCCCGAGACTCCTGCCCCGCGCAGCACAGCCAACAGGAAGTCAGGAGGGCTTCCTGTCGTGCTTTTGAATTCTGGGCCAGAACTGCCGTCCCCCCATGCACGCGCACACACGCACGCGCACACGCAGGCAGTCGGCACTGCAGGGTCTCACGGAGGCTCCCCTCACTTGCAGGTGGCATGGGGCTTGCTCAGGGGGGCTGGCAAGGTGGAGGCAGCATTTGAACCCGGGACCACGCCGATCACTCCTCTGTCTTTAGTCCGTGGGCTGCCCACGACCGCTGTCTTCTAGGAAAGCGATCTTCGCTTTGATTTTGAAGTTATGGCCTCATAAAGTTGATCCGTTTTAATGAAACGCCGTGTGTTAATAAAGCCCAGTGGAAGACAGGCCCCAGTGTGGGGAGCATTCTAGAAAAAGCCCCTCCTGGCCCTGTGCGCCTGAGCACCGGCAGGCGAGTGCCACGGTCCCCGGGCAGCATGGCTCCGCTCCCGCCACTGCCTGCAGCCTGGTGCGGCCTCCGGCTCTGTGGCCGCTTAGGGCTTCAAGGGGATGCACGGCTCGGAACCCTCGCCCGTGGCCTGTGCTCCGCCGGCTCACCAGGCCTCGCTGTGCTGCACTGCGCTGCGCTGTGCTGTGCTGTGCTTGCTGTGCTGCGCTGCGCTTTGCGTGTACGCAGGTGTGAGCATGCGTGGCTGGGAAGACACCATGGCGTGACTTGGAAGCGGGATGGGATGCGGCCTGGGGTCTGGGTTCCCCGTTCCCAGGATGGGGCGCGGCCTGGGGTCTGGGGTTCCCCGCTCCCGGAATGGGGCGCGGCTTGGGGTCTGGGGTCCCTGCTCCCGGCAAACTCCCAGGCAGCCCCTCCCTCCTGTGGCTGTCCCTGTCCCCAGAGATCCCCAAAAGCCATGGTGACCGAATCCCTGCCCACACTAGGGCCAGGCCAGGCTTTCTAGACAGAGTCTCAGTACGATGACAGGGACCCCTGGCTGGGTATGTGCATGCGTGCATGCATGTGTGTCTTGGGGCTTGAACTCAGGGCCTGGGCACAGTCCCTGAGCTTTTACTCAAGTCCAGTGTTCTACCACTTGGGCCACAGGTCCACTTCCAGCTTTTCGGTGGTTCGTTTGAGGTGAGAGTTTCATGAACTTAAATCTGGGCGTGGTGGGGCTCGCCTACCGGCTCAGCTCCAAAGGGAAATGAAAACTAGGCTTGTAGTCGCTGCCCTGCCCTGCCCTGGGCAGGAAGGAGGGCGCGTCTCAAGAGTAACCAGTGCCAAGCCGGGCGCTGGTGGCTCATGCCTGTAATCCTAGCTACTCAGGAGGCTGAGATCTGAGGATCACGGTTCAAAGCCAGCCGGGGCAGGAGAGACCGTGAGACTCCGATCTCCAATAAACCACCAGAAAACCGGAAGTGGCGCTGTAGCTCAAGTGGTAGAGCGCTAGCCTTGAGCTGAAGAGCTGAGGGACAGCGCCCAGGCCCAGAGTTCAAGCCCCACGACCGACAAAAAAAAAAAAAAAAAAAGAGTAACCAGTGCCAAAAAGTGCCGAGGGTGCCCCGAGGGTGTGGCGTGCAGCACCTGCCTGGCAGGGCTGCAACCCAGCTCCGTCCCCAGCACCTCCCCAAGAACAGAATCCCGAAGCTGGGGGAGGGGGGCCCTGTGGCCAGGAGCCGTGTTGGGGGGGGGCCAGGTGCATGCGCACAGGTGTTCCACGGGCCTTCCTGCATTCTGGGGGAACTGGCAGGGGACATGGGGAAAGGGGGTTCGTTTTTTGTTTTTGAGATTTTTGAAGTAAAGTCTCACCATGCCGCCCCACACTGGCCTCCAATTCATGATCCTCTGGCCTCTGTCTCTTCCATCTGGAATTATGCGCCTGCGCTGCCCATCCAGCTTGCTGTGTGTGTGTGTGTGTGTGTGTCTCGGTCGTGGGGCTTGAACTCTGGGCCTAGGCGCTGTCCCTCAGCTCTTCAGCTCAAGGCGAGTGCTCTACCACTTGAGCCACAGCGCCACTTCCGGTTTTCTGGTGATTTAATGGAGATCAGAGTCTCATGGACTTTGCTGTCTGGGCTGGCTTTGAACTGTGATCCTCCGATCTCAGCCTCCTGAGTAGCTATGATGACAGGTAGCGGGAGCCACCAGCGCCCAGCTTAAGTTTTTTGAGATCTGCCTCGTAGACCATGTGACTTACGCCTGTGAGACCGGGGAACCTCTGGGCCAGTGTGAGCACAGCCATCACTTGGGAAAGACACACGGACGAGGGGGGTTACTGGGGGCATGGCCTGTGAACATCACAGGACACTGTGGGAGCTCAGGTCTGCAGGGCACTGTGGGTCTGTGGGGTCTGCAGGGCACTGTGGGAGCTCAGGTCTGCAGGGCACTGTGGGAGCTCAGGTCTGCAGGGCACTGTGGGTCTGTGGGGTCTGCAGGGCATTGGGGGAGGGGAGCTCAGGTCTGCAGGGCACTGTGGGTCTGTGGGGTCTGCAGGGCATTGGGGGAGGGGAGCTCAGGTCTGCGGGGCACTGTGGGTATGTGGGGTCTGCAGGGCACTGTGGGAGTGGGGGCTGGGAGGTCTGCAGGGCACTGTGGGAGCTCAGGTCTGCAGGGCACTGTGGGTCTGTGGGGTCTGCAGGGCATTGGGGGAGGGGAGCTCAGGTCTGCGGGGCACTGTGGGTATGTGGGGTCTGCAGGGCACTGTGGGAGTGGGGGCTGGGCCTGTGCAGGTGGGGAGGCTCTGGCTGCCCTGGCCCCGCCCCCAACCACAGGCCCTCCTTCTGGGAGAGGAGGAAGCGTGTCCTGACACCGAGACCCTGCAGGCAGGGACTGACAGAGCCATTTTCTTCTTTCAGGAATTGACTTTAAAATTAGGACGATAGAGCTGGATGGCAAGAGAATCAAGCTTCAGATCTGGTGAGTCTCCCGCCACCTCTGGTGCATGGCTTTTCCCGCCAGTCCTTGGACGAGAACTTGGGGCCTGGGCGCTGCCCCTGAGCTTTTCACTCCAGGCTGGCGCTTTACCTCCTGAGTCTCAGGCCACTCCCAGCTTTTTGCTGGCTCATTGGAGATGAGAGTGTCATGGGCTTTCCTGCCTGGTCTGGCTTCAAACTGGGATCCTCGGCTCTCAGCCTCCTGAGTGGCTGGATGCCAGGTGTGAGCTCCTGCTCCTGCAGGCTCTCGCAGCCGGGGAGCTGCACCGCGTGGCCTCTGGTCAGGCCTGGCCCAGCCCTGCGCAGGGCCCCAGCCAGGAGCCCCAGCATGGGGTGGGGGTGGGGTGCTGTCTGTGTGTCTGTGGAGATCGGGTCTCTGTAGCCCAGGCTGGCCTTGAGCTCCAGATCCCCCTGCCTGGTGGTGGGTGGCGGGAGGGTCCCCACGCCCAGCCACTCACCCTCAACCACAAAGGTCCACTGTCACCTCCTCTTTCCTGGGGAGCCCCAGGCCAGCCCTTGCTCTGTACCCCCAGCCCCTCCCGACTCCACCCACGTTTCTTACTTTGAGGATGGAATCCTCTTGCTGGCCGGGACCATGATTTTCCTGGGTACGCATCTTGCATACGGTACAATCACACTCACCATGGCCCGGCTTTTCATCAGTTGAGATGGGGTCTCACAGCAGTGTTCGCAGTCTCTGCCTCCTAGGTTGCTAGTATTACAGGTGTGAGCCGCCACACCCATAACACAGCTCTTCACCGCCAGTAGTGTGACCAGAAAACGGGAGATAATATTCCAGAAGCCCGGCAGGGAGTGGGTGGTGACTGGGCTGTAGCTGCGGTCTTCGTCTGTGGTGGGGCAGAGCAGACTCTGCTGGCTGAGTGTGAGGGTGAACCCCAGGAAGGGCTGGGGGCCGGGGCTGGCGGCCACACCGGGGTCTGAGCGGTCGGAGGCAGAGGACAGTGGTTCCCAGCCAGCCTGGGGCCCGCTGCCAGACCCTGCGCAAGCCCCCGGACTCCGAGCCCCCATCTCCCCCAGAAGCTGGCGCGGAGGCCTGTGCCGGCCGTCTGAGTACCAGAGGAAGCACACTGGGGAGGGAGGGGGCCCCTACCACGAGGCCCTAAGGAAAGGGCTGGGGGGGCGGGTTCAAGGGGCAGAGCGGGGCCTGGCAACCCTGAGGCCCTGAGTTCAAATCCCGGTGCTGAGGAGCAGAGGAAAGCCCCGCTCGGGCCTCCGTCACCGACCTCCCGCTTCCCCCGGCTCTAGGGACACAGCGGGCCAGGAGCGCTTCCGGACCATCACCACCGCCTACTACCGGGGCGCCATGGTAGGGCTTCCCAAAGGGTCTCCCCACTGGCCGGGCCCCCGCCCAGCCCGCCCCACTCACTGCAGTTCGTGGCCCCGCGGCCTCGGTGTGGGCGTCCCCAGGGCTGTCTTCCTGACATCGCCCGGGCCTCCCGCTACCTGGCCACCATTTCAGTTTAAATCGTTAAAATCGAAATTGAACTCTGCTACTCTGGAGGCGGAGGCCGGGAGGATTGTGGTTCAAGGCCATCCCCGGCAGCAAGCTAGCCGGCTCCCTCCCCACCAGTACGAGCCGAGCCGTGGTGGGGCACGCCTGTCACCCTGAAAGAGAGCGAGGGAGGCACAAGGCCGGGTCCCAGCTTCGCAGGACGGTGCCCGCCCGGCGAGAGCACGGCCCCCAGTTCAAACCCTGCACCCCGAAAAGAGCAAACCTGTTCCTGGAGGCACCGGCCACGGGGCCGCGCGGGGACCGGGGCCTGGGGCAGGCGGAGGGCCCGAGCCGCAACCCGGGTGCTGCGGCTTCCCCTGTCGCTCTCTCCCTCTTTGTGCTGGTCCTGGGGCTCCATCGGGGCTGGGCGCTCGCTGCTGCTGCTGCTGCTGCTGCTGCTGCTGCTGAGCTCGGGCTGCTGCTCGCACTTGCGCCGCAGCCCCCTTCCAGGAGGCCCCGGGAGGGGAGAGGCCCCGGGCGCCCGGCTGGCGGGGAGCTGCTCTCAGACCCGGCCTCCAGGGTGGGCGGGTGACAGGCGCCAGGCAGCCGTCCTTGAGCCTCAGTTTCCCGAGGAATGGCAGGATCTGGGCGTTTGCGGTGCGGGCGGCCGAGGGCCCTGGTGCCCGGCGCCCGGCCTCGCGTGGGCCCCTGGCCGGCGGGGAGGGGGGCTGGGGCTGGGGTGCCCTCCCGCCCTGAGCCCCGCGTCCCCCAGGGCATCATGCTGGTCTACGACATCACCAACGAGCGCTCCTTCGACAACATCCGCAACTGGATCCGCAACATCGAGGAGGTGGGGGCGGGGCCGAGGGGAGGCGGGGCCAGGGAGGG